CTGGAGTTAAACCACGACACACAGAAAACACTTTGCTGAAATAAATTATACCAACAGATAATGTGCAACAATAAAGGGGTAGAAAACAGTAAATGCTAAAGGAATGGTGCTCAACCATCTTTATTTTTGCTTCATTGTGACTGGATTGATATTTGTCATTTTTTGCTTTTCTGTTGTAAAATTACTCCTTTTTCTGCCTTCTTTTTTCCTATTTGCTAGACCAGAGATGACTTCTTGGGTCAGGTGGATGTGCCACTTAGTCACCTTCCGGTAAGCAGTGTTTTTGGCTCAGCCAGCTCTTTGTCATCACCAGATGTGAAAAACCCTAACATTACGTAGAATCCCTTTCCATAAGTAGTCCAGTTAAATCTTCTTAAGGCAAGTATTCCTAGCATAGAAAGAAATATTTCCCAGAAAAAAAATGTTGTTGACAGCAAAGCCTCACCATGCACAGGAACTGGGAGAAATTATTCCCTTTGCAGGGACAAGGGAGACAGTTGTTCTCTGGTATCTGTTAAATTTCTCAACATCTGAGATTCACTTATTTTCCTGATTCTTTCTTAAAATGGGAAGTCTGTCTCTCACGGATTAAGTGGACGCTCAGTGCAAGAAATGCCTTGCAGAATGAGTTCAGTCAGTGAGAAGAAAGTCTGTGTGGTATTTGGTATATCTGAAATAGTTAGTTAGGGTTGATTTTTAAATTCTTATTTATTGACTTTGAAATACAACAGACAACAAAACTTTTAATGAATGATAGTTCGGGAGTTAGATAATTTTGTATTTAGAAAGGTTTAGTTAAAGAATTGGACTCAAAGTATTCCTGTTCAGGCTGGGAAGTGGTTTACAGACAGACTGTCATTGTTTAGTGGGTAGCAGGGGTGCAGCATTCTGAGATGTATCCACTGTGCTCATTTTGAGACAGTTTGGTGTTAGTCTGAGGGACTAGTTTTCTGGTCTTACTGGTGTGTGTATGATAACGTGCTTACCCTTTCACTGTAACACTCTTCATGCTTCCAACTTTGTCAGTCCAAATCATATGGTCGATTAGAATAAAGTACCCAAAACAATCGACAGATTAAGTATGCATAGGTATTTCTGATTCTTTTATTTACCTCACCATTTGTCAGTTCCTAGTTTTGTACCTATAGCATCCATGTTCTCGCAGACATGAAGGATGTCACTTACCTAATAAGAAAGCTGAAATTCTCATGTAATAAAAAACTTTCAAGATTTAAGGCTTTATGAAACATACAGTTAAATGGAAATCAGATGTAATCTGTCAACCTGATAATATTCCGGGCAAGCCCTTTAATTTGTCATTTTCTTAAATGCTTACAGACTGAAGACCCAACCATGGAAAGGCCATACACATTTAAGGATTTCCTTCTCAGACCAAGAAGGTGAGGGGGAGAGCCTTTGTATTTTAAAACATTTCTTACTTCATGGGTTGTTATTTGCACCTATGTAAGGGTTGTTGAATGAAATGTACCCCCTTGTCTTCTAGCCACAAATCTCATGTGAAGGGTTTCTTGAGACTGAAGATGGCTTATATACCTAAAAATGGTGGACAAGAGGAAGAAAACAGTGATCAAAGGGATGAACCTGAGGTAAGGCTTAATGCTTGGGGAAGGATTCAAGTTATTAGAGATTCAAGTACTCTTGTAGAAAGAGTTGTACCTTGAAAGATGAAACCTTAGTAGCAGCTTACTCTCCTCCCCATCTCATGGTTTAGATGAACTTCTCTTTGGATAATGTTCAGCATCAGCACCTACACACTAATGTCAGCAACAATGAAATAACTTCTCTGTAACTTGAACTTTAAAATCTTCTTTTTTTTTTTCTTCATTCCTAAGCATGGATGGGATGTGGTTGATTCAAGTGACTCTGCATCTCAACATCAGGAGGAGTTACCACCTCCTCCTCTGCCTCCTGGATGGGAAGAAAAGGTGGACAACCTGGGACGGACTTACTATGTCAACCACAACAACAGGACTACTCAGTGGCATCGACCAAGTTTAATGTAAGCGGCAGCGTAGTGCCATGCTTTCAGAGTGTGTAAAATTATCAACATGGGTAGGGATGTTTTCCAGCAAACATAGCTATTTTGGATTTACAAATCCAAGGCTGGAAAAAGTCTTCAGCAAGACCTTTACAAAGCAGTTTATAAAAGGCACACTTCTTTTCAGTAACAGCTTAATCATGGTTTTGGTCCTGGGCTATGTATCTTAAACTATACTTATGGAAACATTTTCACAGATGTGCTAGTAAATTGAGAACCAAAGTCTGGATATCTTCACTTAAAAAGGAAACATCATTTTTTCTTAAGAATGAGACTTCCCCACCCCGAGAAAATCACATAAGGACATAGGTATTCTGGGAAACTCCAGGAAATCTGAATGGGTGGGAGGGAATTCAGTGGATTAACAATGTACCTTCAAATACTGGGAGACAGGTGTGGAATTTTTCAATAAGTAATTTAACTGGAATAAATTACTTTCTTCTATAGAGACTGTTGAAAAGGTAAGGAATAAACAGTCGACTATTAAGTTTTAATTAAGTTAAACTAATTAACTTAGCAGAGATGCTGATGATTATTCACTGTATAGACTGCATTACTTATGTGCACTGGTTGTGCTAGAGTTCCTTTTCAAGCCTTCATTATATATGTCTTATGGCCAGATTTATAAAGCTGTGGCCAGCTTACATTTTAAAAAGAATGTACAATTGACAGTGTTGAGTTACACTGAAATAACTTATTAGTTACACAGCTTGCATTATTTTTATGTAGCCGCTATTCTTCCACTGTTGCTTACTATAACAGGAATGCTTATTCTTTCTTGAATATTCACAGTCATAGCTAAGTTACACAAATGTGCGTTGTCCTTATGTAGGG